ACACACACACACACACACACACACACACACGATGTCCACAGCCCCCCATGCCTGGCTTTAAAAAAAAAAAATTTTTTTTTTTTTGAGAGGTTCTTGCTAAATTGCCAAAGCTGGCCTTGAACTTGTGATCTTCCTGTCTCAGCCTCTGGAGTTGCTGAGACTGCAGGCGTGCACCACTCGGCCTGGCTAATTGTTGTATCTTATTACTCATTACTGTTAATCTCTTACTGGGCCTAACTTACATGTCAAGCTTTATATCATAGGTATGTACGTATAGGACACGTCAGGTTCTGTTCTGTCCCCAAATTTCAGGTGTCCCCTGGGGGTCCTGGAACCCATCCCAAAGGACTAAAGGAGACTTGTGTAATGAAAGTAGTTGTAACCCACTGGGTGAACCAGGAACCCAGGTGCCCATGTGGACATAAGTGAGCAAACAAATGAGGAGGGAGATCTTGACAGCCAAGTGCAGACAGAATGGCGGTTTATAAAATCACACTCAGGAGAGCTCCCGTCATTCGGGCAAGGGTCCTTGGGAACAGGACAGTCCCATCATTTCCTACACTCTCTCCAGAGGTTGGCTACCAATGACAAAGGGGAAAACAGAAGCTCGACCACAGACGACCTTGGAAGACAGCCCAGAGCTGGAGCCAAAAGTCCCTTCTGCAAAAGTGGGACCAGCTGAAACTGCAGGCACCTGCCAGGTGGCAGGAGCCTGGAGTGGCCTCCAAGACGCCCCTGCCCAGGCCGTCCAAGCCAATCTCATGGAGGCTTTTGATGAACCCAGGCGGACATTCCACAGAGCACCTGGCCTGCCCTCTCCAAAGTGCCAAAGTTGAGAAGGACAAAGACCCGTGAAGAAGGCTCGGGGGATCTTGCTCCAGTGGCCGAGTGGCCACCTCGATGCACAGGGTTTGGTCCCCACCCCCCAAAAGAATGATCCAGATTAAAGAAGAAAGTGATGGCTGATTGGTCACAGACGTCGTGCTGAGCCTGAAGACCCTAACACCGAGGACACCTGCGTGCAGTCTGTGGCCTGGGGACTGGGGCCTGTCAACACCGATTCCTTGGCTTTGGCTGGCGGCCACCGTAGTCATGTAACACGGGGCACCTAGAGTTCATGGCAATGGAACACGGAGCCTTCAGGCCACCCTGAGGTAACTCAGATAATCTGGGCTCAGAGGCCGGGGAGGAGGAGGGTGCGAGAGGAAGAGTCGTGGTCTTGGTCCCTGTGCTAAACTGACACAAGTGTCACAATCTACTAAGCAGGGGACCTCCCTGACTCCTCTGGGCTTGGGGACCCAGTGACATGGTGGCATGTCTGGGCAGGATGGGGACATTTTTGCTCCCCCTGTTGGTGTGGCCTTGAGGAGTTAGACTGTATGTAACTGACACCAGGAGCAGCTGGGACAGCCTGGCTGGGGGCCACTGGGTGCCAGGCCGCGGGGCAGTGGCGGGCGGGAGTGTCTGCAGCCAGGACAGCCCACATCCACCGCGACCTGGCCGACCATGGCCACCAGCCCAAGACCCTGAGACCCCATCCTCACCAGTCCAGGTGGCCCCTGTGTGGCGAGGTGACATCACCGTCCCCCACGGCCGCCCACCAAGTGGTCACCCTCAGTGCTGCTGGGTACTCACGTAGTGCTGGCTGGGGACGAAGCGCTTCTCGAAGCCCAGGAGGGCAACGTGGCGGATGAAGGTGTCCCCCATGGCTGGCAGCGGTGCAGGCTTGGCCTCCCCAGGAGCCGCCCAGGCTGGGCCTTAAATGTGCTGGAAAGAGGAAGTTGGTGGCGACTGTCCCCACTGGGCGGGGACGGGGAGGGTGCAGGAAGGGCTTTGCTGCTTCTTTCAGTTTCTAGGGAATTTTTTGAAGCTCCGACAGGGGGGTAAGGGGACGGGGAAAGAGATGGGCAGCCACAGGGCATGGGCCAGGCACTCGCAGCAGGATGGCTCGACCTCCCCGACCTCCCAGGGAGGCCCACAGGTGGCCCTGGCGCCCATGTGGCCCATCCCCGGGCCTGTCTCCTGGGGACACCCACTGCTCCCACCTCAGGGCCCTGGCACTGTGACAACCTGGTTTCATCTTCCCACATCTGTGACCCTATCCTCATTTCCTGCACGTTGGCCAATGTCACCTCCACCGAGAGGCCTTCCTTGATAATGTCACACAGAACAGGGCACTTCGCCCCCCATCTTCCTGCTCTACTGTTGTCCCCAGTGCCTATCCTGATGTGTCACCAACTTCACTTCTCTGCTGGCCAGAGCGTGCGTCCTGGAGGGCAGGCCCTGGCCCCTCAGTCAAGGGCTCTGACCCCCTACTGCTGAGTGACCGAGCCTCTCCTTGGAGTGCATGTGTACATGTCCCCCGAGGAGCATGCGGGACTGTCACAGCCGGGACATGTCTGGCGCAGCTCTGAGTGAAGCCCAAGTTCTGATCAGGGAATCTGTCCTTGTGAGCAGTTTCCTGTGTCCCTTCTCTGGGTGTGCCGGGGATCCTGGCACCTGGGCAGGCAGGTCCCGCCACATGGAAGAGCAGCTTCCTGGAGCACGTGGGGGTCAGGAGGCGAAGGCACCCCCTGCAGCACTCAAGGCGTGGCCTGGAAACCACCTAAGCCAGCCTGAGGTGCTGAGAGCCAGGTGACCTCTGGCTCTGGGGCGGGGACAGCAGCAGGGGCTGGACAATGCGCCCTTCCTTGAGAGGGATCCTGGTTCCCTGAGTGAACTCATTGACTGAACTTCGCGTAAGGAACTTCGAGTAAGGTCACGGCTGTCCTTCTGTAGGAGGTTGAAAACAGGTTCCGTGGCCCACGCCTGTAGTCCCGGGGCTGGGGAGGCTGAGGGAGGAGGATGTGAGTTCAAGGCCAGCCTTAGCAATATCGAGGCCCTAAGCAGCTTTGTGAAACCTGTCTCTGAATAAAAATGCAAAATAGGGCTGGGGACATGGCTCTGTGGTCAGTGCCCGAGTTCAATCCCTGGTTACTTCCCCCCCAAAAAAAAAAACAGAGGTTGAAAACAAATGTGAGACTGAGCAGACCCTAGGCTGGTGGCTTTCCTCCTGCCACCTCAGCTCCACGTCCCCCCTGGTCGCAGGTGCCATGGCCTAGAAGGACCTAGGCACAGGACTGCTGCAAGTGGCCTCTGGCCTCAACATTTCCTTCCCCTCCCAGGCTTCCTATTCTTGAGTAACTGCCCGGCCAGGCCTTTGGGTCCTGGGGACACCAGGCCTGGCTCAGCTGCCACCCTCCTGCAGCCTCCAGAGACCTGGCCTTGTGCCTATGTGACCCCTGGCACAGGCCAGGTAGTGCCAAGAACATTTGACCTTGTAGTGACCTCTATGAGCAGGCCCTAGGCCTTTGTCAGGGTGACATGGGATTCATGTGAACGCACGGATGGAGCACTTTGGTGACCAGATTATTATTTTTTTAAGGAACTGAAGGCCGGGGGTGTAGTCCAATGGTACAGTGTGCACTGAGGACATGCCGGACCCTGGCTCAGAGCCCCAGTACAGTGGGTGAACCCCTTCCCTGCCCCACAAAGAGGGATGAACAAATAGGGAAGGAGATGATGAATACAGACTTTTTGTGGGGGAGGAGATAAAATTTTTAAAAACTTTAAAAAATTGTGAAATAGGGCTGGGGCGCGGCTCAGCGGCAGCGCACTTACCTAGTGTGTGAGGCCCTGGGCTCCGTCCCCTGCACCACATAAAGTCATTTAAAAAAGGTGAAATATGTAGAAAACTGCAGTTGAGCTAAGCAGTATGAATTATGACTGCTACAGACATCCAGGGAGCTGTCACCTGGGCAATGAAGCAATACCCGAGTTCCCCAAGTCCCTAGGTCCCCAGCAGGAAGGATTCTGGGTCAGGTGCAGTGTTTCGCACTGTGATAACAGCTTCTCTCCAGGACCCTTAGTGCTGCACTTCACAGATGGGAGAAGCAAGGGGGAGGGGTCACAAGGTGGCCCAGCTGGCAAGCAGAGCTGGGACTGGAACCCAGGCCCGTCCTCCAACCCTACAGCCCCCTCCCCTCCAGCCTGCAGGAAGGAGGGAACTTCTCACACCAGGCCAGACGGGAGGGGAGGAAGGAAGGACCTTGGCTTCCCTCAGGTCACTCGGCTTTCCCCAAATGGGCTGGTCTGGTCATTTCCTCACCCAGGAAATCCCCAAGACTGGGCCAGTGGACAGTGTGGAAAGGGGCTTCACGTCTGGAAACCAGGCCCAAGCAGGGCCCTCTGGGATCTTCTGCCAGGGGAGGTGATCTTTGTGGTGGGACAGTTCTTTTGAGGCCTAAGACCCTTCTGGTGCCCTTCTTAGGGTCTTGACATCCTGATCCTTTGTCGGGTCACTGGGACAGCCCTTGACCAGCCCACAGAACAGTTCTAGACAGGCCCAGAGCAGCAGGAGGGGCACCGGAGCCAACTGCTTGGCCGGGACACTGGCTCTGTGGGGCCAAGGTCGCAAGGGCAAGAGGTTTCTACAGGTTACTCATAGGGTCTCCGCCTCCCAGGGACCCGTTTCCCTTCAGCACAATCATGTGGGACGTGCCCTGCTGAGCAGGGATTGACACCTGGCCACTGCACAGAGGACACAGGCACAGGCTGCGTGGGACTCTTCTCTAGGACAGCTCACGGTGTCCTTGGGTCTCTGTTCAGGGGCACTGGAGGGAGGGGGACCCAGGCCCCCCACAGGCCCAGTGGGGAGGACAGACTGCTGGGCTGTGAGCACTCCAACCCCAAGGCTGGTCCTGACAGTCCCTGACCAGTCTGCTCAAGCCCTCTGGGCCTCAGTTTTGCCAACTGTACAAGGGCACTGACAACTGTGCCCACCTCCTGGGCTCCTGTGAGGACTAAGCAAGGTGAGGTGCCAGGGCTGCCTCCGTGGTGCAGGGACGCAAGGGGAGGGGCAGTTCCAGGCCAGGGGTCAGGGGGTCTTGCTGCAGAACGCGGGCACGTTTCAGGTTCAGCTGGCGGGGCAGCAGCACCTGCGGTGGGGCAGATCTGCCCAGGCCACGCCTATCCCACTGCGCTTCTGTCCTCTGGAAATACCTGTGGGAGAGATGGGGACTCTCCAGGCCGCCCCACCCAAAACCTGGCTCCCCTTGCCCTTCCCGCTGCCCTGCGGCAGCACTCCCAGCCAGCCCAGCAGCTCGATACCACCCGGGGCTGAGAGTGAGCCCAGGGTCCAGTCTTCAGGGCGGGCTGGCCACTTTTGCAGTTGTCCCCAAGAGTGCAGAGCCAGCAGTGACGGGATGCAGCCTGTCACTACCCAGGGAGACCCAGGGTGCAGCTGGCGCAGGGCATATGTGGCTTTGATAGACGCACACCAGGGTGTCCTGCCAACCAGATCTTTTGGAAACCTGTCTGTGGCACACTTAGATCCTGGCTCCTAGGGGGGCTGCCACTGCACAGCAGAAGCCCCAGTAACGCCGCCCTCTTCCTCCGCAACCAACGAGGCAGGAAGCACCTTCACAAACAGGTGTTGTGTCACCGCCTGTGTCACCGACTTCCCCAAAACCAAACCACCAGCAAGGTACAGCTGCCTCAGGCAGCCAGACAGCCCTTGGTTTTGGCCAGTGTGCAGAGGGAAGGAGCAGGCTGGCTAGGCCCACAGCACCTGCCATGAATAAAACCCGGGGCAGAGGCGAACCCCGGGATCAGGGAGCAGGGCAGTGGAGTCCCCACTAGAAACAGATGCCTGAAGGGTCCCCTCCTCCCTGGGAGCACATGACATCTTCAAAGCATGCACCACAAGTCCAGAAACTGGGGCTCCCTTCCAGGGGGTGAGTGCTGGACCCTGAGTGTCCAGAGGTGCACACTTGGTGACAATTATCTGCCCACTAAGAGTCATCCGATGCCAGAGCTGGTCGCCGTGTGGACATGGCTGGGGCTGGGCACTGCATGGGTGGGCCAGGGCTGGCTGTCTTCCTCCCCTACAGACCTGCTGGCTTCTGGGGCAGGAGGCAGATGTGGGGGCTGAGGAGGCCCAGAACCAGCACCTCTGCCCAAGGGAATGGAGGAGGAGTGCCACCGGGGCCCCAAGGCTGCGCAGGCCCAGACTCAGGCCTGTGTAGGGCGGGGCGTCAGCTTCCTCCAGAGCCCTGGACCTCACTGCATAGGACAGTTTGTGCCAGTTGTGTGCTGTGGCTGGGGGCAAGGGCCGTTGTTTCTGGTGCCAGGCGGCTGGCTGCCCTGAAAGCCCTAGGCAAAGGCCACTCCAGCATAGAGCTTGACCCTCAGGCTCTCCCCCAGGGGTTGGGGGCAGTGAGATTTACCCTACTTAGCCAACAGGACTGAATTCCTACCGTCCAGGGACACAGACCTGCTCCAGGAGTGGGGTCTGCAAGGGTCCCAAAGCCTTGGTCCCGAGTCACCTGACCACACTGGCTGGTCATCCCATCCCGCCTTGAACTACCATGGAATCACGTTGTCCCACAAACAGGAACACGTCAGATCTACCTCAGATCCCAGACACGTTTTTTTTTTTTTTCAAATTCAGACCTAAAGGCTAATGGGCAAATCTCACCCTCCCACCTCCTAAATAAGCATGCTCCTTCCCACTGGCATTCTCAACAGGGGGGCCAGGCCTCTGTGGGGGCTGCTGAGCTCCAAGTAGGCCACAGCTTCATTGCCACCATCTTAAACAGGCCTGGCCCCTCTGCCATGTGCTGTGGCTTGGGCAAGTGCCCCCGAAGGCCATGGTGCTGTTGAGGTGGGTCCTTAAGGAGGTGGGGCCCCAGAGTGGAGTTGGCCACCGGGGCTGTGTCCTTTAGGCAATACTGAGACCCCTGCCTCTTCCCGTCCCTTGTGCTTCCCAGAGTCCACGAGGACAGCTTCCTCCCCCAGCCCACCAGCCAGGGGCGGCCTCATGGCCTGACCAGCAGCAACTAACTGGGTCAGACGGAAACCTCTGGAACCACCAGATAAACCCTTCTCCTTCCAAGCTGATCATCTTCAGTATTTTGTTATGGAAACAGAAAGCCAGCACAGTGTTGCTGCTGAGGGGCAGCCTGGTAAGGTGGCCACCCCGGGACACACAGACGGCCAGGAAGGGAGCCTGCCCCTCCACGCCTGTCCAGGTCACAGAACATACAGGAGGTTGGAGGTGCTCCTCACACCTGAAGATGCAGCAGCCTGAGCCTAGGCAGACCGCTCAGGAGACACCTGTCACTAAACCCTAAAGGGGGCCTGGGCATAAAGCACACAGGGGCAGACCTCTGGTCTCACAGGGAGGCTGCCCTGCTGTGGGGCGGGGTGGCAGAGCTGGGCACAGGGAAGGCCAAGTTAAAGGAAGCTGAGATCCTCCCAGAGCAGCTGGTCTCCCCATGCGGCTGGCAGTGCCCTCCCTCTGCAGAGAGGGGTCTGGCCTACAAAGCGCTCAATGCGCAGGGGCTCCACCCGGAACCTCACCACTTGGGAGGCTGGAGCAGGAAGAGCATGTTCATTTCAAGACCAGCAGAGGCAACAGTGAGACCCTGCCTCAAAAAACAAAACAAAAAAACCCAAAGGAAACTGAGCACATCTACCTAAACTACGCTTCTTCCCCCACGGCCGGCACACCCCAGGGAGACTGGAGGAGGACTGGTGTGATAGAGGCCTCAGGAACACGAGGGACAGCT